CTCTCACACACACACACACACACACACACACACACACACACACACACACACACACACACACAGCGAACATGACAAAACACACACACAGACCCACACAGAAGTACTACTCAGAAAATGCACTCAGTCTTGAGTGTATTCTTTATGAGTTCACTTGTTTCCAGAAAAAAACTATTCAGAAAATGCAATCGGTCTTTGCTGTGTTTGCTGCTCCCGACTTGGGCGCTATGTTACTAGAGTGTGTGCAGCTACCCACCCTGAGATGAACCAATTTATAAATCGGCAGTACTTGATGGGAGTGCCCTTGGACTAATAGGGGTTGGTGTCTTTCCTCGCCAGGAGACGATAGAACCCAAACCCATAACTTAAGTGTGTCAGGAATATCTTCATATTCATCACAAGGAAAAGGGGAAAGGAGGGGCTGTAAGAAATGAGCACATGCCCTCCCACGTTTCAACACATCTTCGGGAGACTGCCTCCCCTTTGTTTCACTTTACCCCCATCCTATCTATTAGCAGTTAGCCAATTAGACATTGGCCAACTGAGACAAAGCACCTCTGGCCACGGACGGCTATTTGGCTATTTGGCTATTACCACACCCACCAGACAAAGGCAAGTTGGTACACACTCCAGGAAACTCAGGGAACTGATAGGAACTGATGATTCATCGCAACGTACGCACCACTCTAGGATATGCTGCTATGAAACTCGCCTTTTTTTCACTCTAAGAGGAGGAGGGGGCGGGGGGCGGGGGGCGGGCGGGGGGGAAGAGAGAGAAAGAACGAAAGGACTCTGTCTGTGGTTAGCTGTAGCAGCAGCGGCAGGAGCAGGAGCAGGAGTAGTGAAGAGGAAAGAGGAGGGTACCTGCTTGGCGGCTGGGTGGTACACATACCTAACTACGGACCCAAAGGTCGATATTAAAATCTGCTGGTCCTGGTACCTCACTGGTGGATGAGTGTAGCGGTCGTTCCTCGAACTCAGGCATGGCCTGAAGTCCTTTTTTTTTTCCCTTTTTTTTCCCCCTTTTTACTTAACAAGCACACATGCCCTCTATTGTGGTATTTTCAGGTGCAGGGGCCTATTTGTCTGTTGTCATATTCGCTACACACTCAAAAAAAAAA